ATTGGAGACCTTGTGTATAATCAACCAAGACGTAATAAAACCGAAACAGAGCAGAGGGGCATCACGTGCAGAAGGACGGGAGAATGCAAGGCCGAATCAGAGTATCCTGAGTCACATAAACAGATCTTTCCTGGTCGTCCAGTGATTACGATTCAGTGCCTTCACTGCCATAACCTGTTAATGGTTAACATTTACAGGAATAAATACGAAATATTGACTGATCTTTAGAAGCAGAATTATGTCATTGACCAGTCAAAATCGATTCACTCCATGTTACAGTTCCACATCAGCAATCCCAGCAGCAACTGCCTGACGTGTAATCGGTTTAAAACAAGAACAGAGGGGAGGTCAGGAAAAGTGAAGGGCAATGGTAGTTTGTGAGAGTTGACTGTGGGCCGAGTGGAGCCAGGCTAAATGTGAGTGATGAAGACCAGTCTTCACTGTTTACCCTGGTATACAGATCACATTGGATCAATCACACAAGGACTCTCCTTTGTGTGTTGTCCTTTGCACGTCACAACTCGGTTCAGTGCCTCGAGGGATTCGGAAACTTTTAATTTGGCAACTAACTCAGGTCAGTGGTCCACAAACTAAGCTGTGTCGGGCCACTATTTAAACGGGCCACCACTCATTGCAACGACCCAGAACTATACAGAAAGAGGAAGAACACCAATACAAAATCTTCGCTTTGAACGGATATCCCTGCAATTTCATCCGCAGGTGCCTACTAAATAACAACAGAAAGAGGACACATTATGCCCTAACACACTGGCTACACTGCCATACATCAAGAACATATCAGAACTGACAACTCCTATGACCACTAGGAATTACGGCAGCACACAAGCCCAAAGCCATGCTACGACAAACACTCACAAGGATTAAAGACCACATACCCACGACATGCAGAACCGACATAGTTTACAAAATACCGTACAACGACTGCCACAAACATTGTATCAGAGAGACAGGAAGGAAACTCGCCATCAGAATACATGAACATCAGCTAGCAGCAAAATGACACGACGAACTTTCCCTAATATCAGTACACTCGGATAATGAAGGCCATCAGTTTAACTGGGACAACATAACCGTATTAGCCCAAGCCAAATATAGACACACATGGGAATTCCTAGAGGCATTGTTCTCAATCCATAATGCAATCAGCAAACATATAGAATTGGACCCCATATACAATCCATACAGAACAGAACGGGAAATGACAGAACTCACCGCAACAGACCGGGCAGTATAAATTCAAAGTGGAGTAGAACAACATCGCTTCATCGGAAGTCTCATTCATGATGTTACCTCGCAATGGTGACGAAACGTCTGAACGAAAACAAGCCAGCTGGGCGAGCAAGTTAACAACATCAACTTTACCGTTTAATGTGTGGCTCAGTGTCAGTCTTTGTGATATTATACACACACTGTTCTACCCGCTTCTCCCGACGTACACAAGGTACGCCGACAAAAGGCAGCTTTATGTGGAACACAAGCAGTTTCTCCAGACAATGGGTACTGTTGCCATGAGCTGGGATATGAAATAGACAGTGAGCTGAAGTAGCCCCACACTCATGTTACTCATTTACCTTTCAATTTCAATTTTAAATTTCCAAAACCCAGCGATCCAATCACTTCAGCTGCTGGAAATCTGACAAAAACAGCGCTGGGCATACATTCCTCTTCGGAAGCATCTGTCAATTTGCAAGGGTCGAAAAACTGTCAACTTCACTCGAGCGAGGGAGGATACAACATTTCAATCTTCCAAACCAAAGTCAGACGCCGCATCAATTACACCACTGACTCCACACTCTTGCTGCAGCTTTCATCCTGTCCACTTGTGATGTATTCAAGGATAATGGCAGAAATAGCATTCGCAAGGTGAATATCCAGCAAAATAATCGCCGTCACTGCTGCACTTCAATGTTCTCCACTTTGTGAAGCGGTGAATTTCACTGGCAAACGAAGCACGTTCGTTCTTATATGCCTGCTTTACTGTCACCCGTTTCTCTGCCATCCGTTTCTCTGCTAGGACTTGCCATCATTTTATTCACAGTCATTCCAAAGTTTGCCTCTCGTATCTCTTTTTTTTAAGTTTATCTCCTCTCAACTTAAAACCGTCCCCTCGTCTTGAAGTCTCCCATCTGAGGGAAAAGACAACTACCAGTAGTACTATTTCCACGTCTCACTGTTTTATAAACTTCTATCAGGTCGCCTCTCAACCTCTGAAGCACCAGCGAAAATAGTCCAAGTCTATCCAACCCTTCTTTATAAATCAAACCTTCCATACCAGGCAACATCCTGGTAAACCTCTTCTTAACACTTGCCAGCTTAATAATATGCCTCCTGCAACTGTGCGACCGAAACTGCACACAGTATTCCAGAAGAGGACTCACCAACATCCTGTACAACCTCAATATGACTTTCCCAACTCCTAAATTGAAACAATTGATAATGAAGACAGGCGTGCTGGAAGCCTGTTTCACCTCTCTGTCCATATGTGATGTAAACTTCAAAGAATTATGTACCTGCACCCCGAGGTCCCTAAGGAGGCACCTTAACAGTGAGACAAAGTCTGTGGGCGGTTGGGGAAGAGTTTCGAATTTCTTTGACTTCACGTCTAAAGAAATTTATTGTACACGTGCAGCTGAATAAGATCGGCAATTCATTCTCCGTGACGAACTATAAATGAAACTGAACATTTTTTCAATTAAAAAGTAAAGTTAGACCCTCTCGAGTCGGAAGGAAACCGTCGCTCAGAGGCACAATTCCCGCTTTAAAATAGTGCCTTAATGATTCGACCACATTCCGATGATGTTAGGAACATTTCATACTTTCCGAACTCCACCCAAGAAATCCAGAAACAAGGCTCTGTCTCTTTGCATTTTGAACCCTGCCTTCCTCTCAGCAGTTCTTTATTTTAAGCTGATAAAAATTCTGACCAAAGTTGAATGTAACATTTGCACGTTTCAATGAGATAAATCTAATTCTTTTTTTGAATGTTTCAATGACTTGTGGAGTTTGCATCAAATTGAATGCATTGAAGCGAGTTAAACAGCTTTTTCCCGCAACTTAATTCAATTTTGAAGAGCCATGTGAGAAATGTTTGCGATCTGAAAAAAAATCATCTTTTATTCTCTCTCCGCAAATATTTTTTGACATTTCGAACATTTCCAAGACGTTTGTCGATCGTTGAGTCATTTCCAAATTCTCAGAAACTGGCAATTTCCCATAAACTTTGTCCAAAATTGACTGTGCTCCTTCGTGTCTTTTCCCACGACAAATTAAAACTGCACCAGTCGAGACTTAGACTCACAACCTCGGCATTACACACGCTTCTCCACAGTCATATAAATACTGCGGGCTAACCAACTGCGCCACTGGAGAGACACACACTAAATATTTCCAATTATACCTCAGTTGGCAAATCGGCTGCGAACTGGGATCATATGATTCTCTTCACAAGTGGTTCCTGACTTTTTTGAGGAAATTACTGAACTACGGAGTGCTAAACTGGAATGATTACTGCTATACACATTTTCAGCATTTTCCTGCAGTGTTCCCTGAGCCTTTGATGTTTCCAGCCTGTAGAAATCTGTCAATCACGATCTTGCCAGGGTTGCGCGGTTTGGACTGCAGGGTGAAGCTGAATAGGCCTTCCAAAATTTCCCTGCAACGTCGGAAGATGAGAACTTAGAGAAGCTTATAAAGTCATGAGGGATATGAACAGGGTGAATGGTCGAGGTCTTTATTCACCGGGTGGGCCAGTCCAAAACTACAGGGCATATATTTAAGGTGAGAGGGGAGAAATGAAATGGGAGCTGAGGGGTATTTTTCACGCGGAAGTTGGTGCGTAAATGGAATGAACTGACGGTGGAAGTTGTGGAGGCTGGTGAAATGACAACATTTCAAAGGCATCTGGATGCGGGCATGAATCGGAAGGGTTTAGAGGGATAAGGGCCAAATGCTGGCAAATGGGGCTAAATTAATTTCGGATGTCTGGTCGACATGGACGAGGTTCGCCGAAGTGTGTTCACGTGCTGTCCATTCCGACGACACTACAGTTGCTAACCCCCAGTTTAATCATTTGTTTGCGTACGCTCCTGCTGTTAGTCTCTGTGGCGCAATTGGTTAGCGCGTTTGGTTGGTAATTGAAAGGCTGGTGGTTCGACCACACCCGGACGCGAAAAGGCTGCTTTGCTTTTAACCCCGATGACCATTCTCCGTGACACGTTCTCAGTGAGAATTTTGGCTGCAAGAAGGTAACTGTGTTCGCTCCTCAACTATCGAGCGAATTCCCGAACAGACAGCTCTTAACGCGCAACCGAAGCAAAAATGACAAGGCAAATGCAGTTGCAGACACAGCAAAGCATAAATGCTGTCTGTGAGAGACCTCGACTTGTCTGTGTCACGATCTGCTCACACAAGTGGCAGCGGGGCACTTCCAAACTGCGCTTTCAATTATACTGGGAGTTTCGTCCAATGCCACTTTCCGCAAAGTGCTCAAATAAGGGAAAAACAGAACAGAATTTGAATGACCCATGAAAAGTGACGATTAGCAATCACAGTCTCGAAGAGCTGGGTTTCCTTCTGATCAACAATGCGGGTGTGCCTGCACGACAGTGTTTGCAGCCGATCGAGAAGGCAGCTCATCAGTTCCCTTCTCCAGGACAGAAATGAAGGAAATGAGAGAAAATTAACAAAATTTTACGTCGAAATTACTCTCCTTTTCGCCACAACAGCAAATAACTGCGATCAGAATTCATGCAGGATTTGATTTCACAGCAGCAGTGGTACAACAATCTCTATTCGCTCTCAGTGAAAAGGGTGAACAACGCAACTTGCCTGGAACATGAAGCAGCAGCGCAGCCTGCTTTTTC